TCTCATTTGTCTGCTGACCCTCACAACACCACCTCAAAGTTGACAGGACAGCCACTGTTATTCCCTTTTTTTGGTAAGTAGGAAAACTGAGTCTCCAGAAGGCAAAACACCTTTCCAAGATCTGTTTGTACAAGATCTACTTGTAGAACCAGTGGTTCTACAGGGTATCCAGCCTGGGGACCTGGTGTCAAAGCCACTGGAAGGAAAGCTAAACTCCTGGTCACTCTTAGGAACAGTAAGAGTCTCCCATTCAGGAATGGTAGCTATGTATGGTGGTGCATCCCTGTAATCCCAGCACTCAGGAGACTGAGGCAGGAGGATCGAGAGTTCAAGGCCAATCTGGGCAATAATTTAGCTAGCCCCTTGTCTTGGGGATAGGGAATGCTTGGATGCTCAGGATGAAAAAGTTCTTCACATTGTGCCACAACTGACCCACTGCCTTCTACTTGTTCTACTGGCTTTGATTTGAGCACTTCTTAAGTATGTGTCTGTAGCTGTCCTGGCCTAGTCCTGGGAAGAAGCCTGCAGCCTGCAATACTCCTGCTGCTGTTTATCTGTATCTTTTTTTTTTAATCATCTCTATCATCTGTCTTGCTATCCTATCTGTCTGTCTGTCTGTTTGTCTGTCTAGCTAGCTAGCTAGCTATCTTACCTACCTGTCCCTGTCAGTCTTCTCTACTTATCTACCTGTCATCTGTTTTTGTGTGTGTGTGTGTGTGTGTGTGTGTGTGTGTGTGTGTGTTGCTTGGAATTCAATCTGTGGCCTTGTATATACCATGCAACTATTACCACTTGGGCCACATCTACAAACCTCAATATACATTGGTTTTCACCAGGCCCACTGTGGCCACACCTCCATATCAAGTGGCTGTGAGCAAAATGCAAAGGAGGGTGGGCTGCACCCCCAGAACCTAGGAGGCCACCAGGGAAGAGGAGCTACACAGCATGGTACAACCTCAGAGGTTAGAACTGTGGTAGTGACTAGACCTTAGACAGCAAATTGCACTCTGAGGGAACTGTTCGGGCTGTCTAGAGGGGAGCCTGGCTAAAAGGCTAAAAGGTCCCATCTATGGAGGTGTATAGGCTATAGTCAGGAGAGGAGCTGATGGCAAGAATGGGAGGAGCTAGCCTTTAAGTAACCTCCATAGAGACTATGTACAAGGAGCAGTGACAGTTGAGTGACACACACAGGAGGCCATGGGGGCAAACATTTTGAACGGAGGCTCAGGTGGTTGGCAGGGGCATGGCTAGGAGTACCCAACATCAGATGACTCCTCAGCCTCCTTCTTGGCTCAACCCTGCCACCTGCACCCTTCCTTAGAACCATGGAATTGGGGTAAAGTGTGGCCAGACTTAGCAATACCAAAAAGATGATTGTACACACTTTAGGCATATTTGCTTTCTGAAGGAAAAGTGGCTTGAAAAGTCTGAGGCTAGCCCCAGGAAAAACCTTGAAAAATAACTAAAGCAAAAAAGAAGCTGGGGGTGTGGCTCAGGTAAAAAAGGTCCTGCCTGACTAGCAGTAGGCCCTGAGTTCAATATTTAGATATTAATATTTCAGTATTTAGAAACAGAGGAAGAGAGACACACACACGCATCAGGACATTTGCACACAGGATTTTAAGTATCAGTCTGTTAGCACCTGAGCAGGTTGGATAGAGTGACCTGACTTATTTTGTAGCTGAGGTCTCCAAGGTCCTGGAGAAAGGCTGCCTAGCAGTACAATTCCCCAGAAAGCAGGACTCTTGCCTCTGTGGCTGCCTGCTTGGGGTTCACTACCCCTGGCTTCATCTGCAGACAAATGTCCTCTTTCCTACCTCATCTGTGGGCATCTGACCTTCATGTGTGGCTTTAAAGATGACTTGCATCTCTGAAGCTTGGGCCTAAGTGACTTCTTGGTTGTGGGAGGTTTTCCTGGAAGCAGGAAGTCATGGATGCCAGCTTCCAGATGACAGACTGATCTTTCATGTGTTGACCTTATTCCCACCTTTGCTATTCACCAGCTCTACAGCCCTATGCCAGTTACCCAAACAATACTGGCCTCAGTTTACCCATTTGTTACATAGGGACAATCACATCCCCTAGTTCCCCAGGTATATGTTAAGTCAGGTGTTGGTAACTTTCAAGATATCATGTCAGCTACTAGCAAAGGTAGCTCAGTTTTTCAAACATTTCATCACTCAATTCTCTTTAGTTAGTGCCATAGCTTTGCAAAGCTGGGATCTGGGCCCTTGGGAGAACTGGGTTGCAAATAATGAAATCAGTGGCTGTGTCCACTAATTACATGATTTGAAGAGTTGTGTAGGATCCAACCAGAGCACAGGTCCCTGTTAGTTATTGTGGCTCTCTTTACACATGATATTTTAAATTTCTTTTTTGTTTGTTTCACTTTACACTAAGGATTTTTTTTCCAAGCGGCTAGTAAGTTTCTAGGATATAAATACAGAGTTATTTGGAAAATAACTACTTAATGTATTCCTAACTATTGGAAATTCTTTTAGGAGCTTGAGATACTGTAAAAATAACACTGGGATATTAAAAAAAACAGATATTAAAAAAACACTGAGATATTAAAAAAAACTCTGTCTAATGCTATTATTGGGTACACTGAAAGAATGGAGGTATCTCTGAACAGGACCTGGCAAAAGGACCCCCACAGACATTTAGAGGCTGATGCCCTAGGGCCTGCCCCAATCCAGACCATCTGCTGAGCTTCCCTTGGCTCTTGGGGCCCAGCCACGGCTGGCTCCATATTTGTAGTATCCACTGCACACCTACTATGTACAGTCCATGTAGTTCAGTCCCTCTGTGAAGAAACAACCTTAGGTGGCTTTTTTTTCTGCTTCTTGGTCTCCCATAGTATCTACCTGGGGTATGGGGACGCAGACCATCCAGGATCACATAGAGAAGCACTGATGGGATATTCAGCCTTATTCCTGCCTGGGTGGGCCAGCCAGGCAGCTGCATGTGTCTGGTGTTTGCTTGCTGTGGCTATGGCTATGGTTTACAAATAGGTGGCATTAGGATTGCAAAACAAAATGGAAATGCAGTCTGCAGTGCCTAGAAGATGGAGTAAGCATGTGCTGTGCACTCTAGAAGGCCAGTTTCCCTCATTTCCCATATGGGACACAGAGGGGCTGCTTATATCCCAGGTGTCATAGATGTCCAACCAAGTGTGGCCCTGCTGACTTCCTCAGACAGTGGCCACAGGGAGTACTGGCACTGAGGCAGACAGCAGCCAGGAGCCTGACTGGCTCTGTTATATATACCTGGCTCCAGGGTCCAGCCCCTGTGGTCCTCTCATTATGTTGTCTATCTCTACCAGCTTCCCAGGCAACCAGACCTTTAGGGCTGCAGATGTACCTGTAGATTGTCTCCTGCTACAGAGCAGACGGAGGTGGGAAACTCTGGCCTGGCCAGTTCCTGTTAGCTGCCCCCTGACAAGGAGGCCCCAGGCAAGTCACTAGCCCCAATTGGATGGCCTTCAGTTTCCTCAGCTGTGAGATGAAAACACTAGCCCCAGATTTGTGGGCTCTTCAATGAGAGTCCTGACCAATGCCAGATGCTGCTAGGGTTCTGCTGTTGGGAGCAGCTTCTATGTGCCAGAACTAAGTCAGCTATGGCCCAGAGACATCCCAAGTGTGCAAGTCTTGGGGCATCGTGCTTAAACTAACTCTCAGATCCTCAGTTTCCTCATCTGTGAAGCAGGAACTAACAGAACATAATCTTAGAGGGCTGTGGGAAGTTAGCTATCTAAAGTATTGAAGACAAGGCCCTTTGTCTTTGGAGAGCATTGGATGGAATTTCAGCACAGTAGTAGGTGCTTACTGTGTGCCCTCTGGGCCTTCATGTCCTTCTCAAAGCAGCCCAGAGAAGGGAAGAGGGGAAAAGGGCTCTCTTCCCTGATGTCTTCTTCACAATGAGGAGCAAAGCACAGGCTGGGCTTACATCCTATCTGCTGCTTTCCTGGCACACATACACCAGGAAGCCACCTCAGTCAGCGAGGTATCCTGGCCCACACAGAGCAAACATGTGCTATTCATTCTGCTTTTGGGAAACTAGATGTCCCAGCCCTTTTGCTTCCTTGGGACCACACAGTCTCCTGCATAGGAGAACAAGGGCATAGTCCCTGTTTGAGCTTCTTGGGACCAGGTCCCTGACATCTCAGGGTTGGTGGGAAGGGCCCACACAGATGTGGCTGCCCCCTCCTCTTCTTTTTTCATGGCAGTTAGCAGAGGAGGACAAGCCCCCCTGCTGCTCGTTCCCAGCCATCTGATTGTTCTGCCTCTGGTGATGGAGATCCAATTTTCCTAAGCGAGCTGTAAACCAATCGCCTGCCTGGCCTGGTTTCCTCCCTTCCTGTTTGTCTCACCTCCTGAGGTGTCTGTTCTTTCCAGAGACATGGGTGTTCCACTGCTCCTGGGGAGGAGATTACCACAGGGACAGCCTCCCCTGTTCCCTGAAGTTTCCTCACTCCTGCCAAGGGTGTGGAGCTGGAAAAGGCTGCTAGAGCGAGGGCAGAGCCCCTTGGAGGTGAGGCACCATGTGGGGAGCCAGGCCTACCACACTGCCCACCCTCAGTGTGCTCCATGCCCCCTGGCTGCCTTCATATTGGCAGTCTTATAGCAAAAGGCCAGTGGAGGATTCTAGGCAGAGCTGACTGGTTGTGTGTTGAGGGAGATAGAAATGAGATTGGGCAAGGCCAGATTAGGGGGCACTGTGAGGTCCCCAGGGTCCTCACTCTGACAATTGGACATACCATTCTAGGCCTCTCTGGCTTCTCCTTGTGTAAAAGAGCAATATCCCAGGGATGAACTGGCCCTAAAGCTCATTTTCTTTAAAATGGGGCAAGATAGAGAAATTTAGGCCTCAATTGTTATAGACCTCACTCAGGTATTGGAGTGGGTTGTTGGCTGCTCTCTGCAGCAGGTCTCCAGGATGGTCAAGACATATCCCAGGTCCCCAGCCTGCAGCTCATGGATGTCCATCCTGTTCCACAGGCTCTGACTTGGGCAGTGTGGTGCTCCCAGACTCCTTCCCCTCTGTGCCAGCGGATCCACTGCCCCACTTCCTGCAGGAGCCGCAGGACGCCTATATTGTGAAGAATAAGCCTGTGGAGCTGCGCTGCCATGCCTTCCCCGCCACACAGATCTACTTCAAGTGCAACGGCGAGTGGGTCAGCCAGAATGACCACATCACACAGGAGAGCCTGGACAAAGCCACTGGTGAGGCTACCCCACCCAGGCACCCCTGGACATCACAGACTGGAGGCAGGAGCCAAACAGCCCTGCACTGGTTCAGCTCTGGGCTCTGTGTTGATATCACACAGCTAGGATGCAAAGCTGAGCCTCAGTTTCCCTTTGGAAGTTCACCAGAATTTTCCCAAGCACTGGCTTCCAGTCCCAGCCTAGCTTTGGGAGACCATCACCGACACTCAGTAGCATCAAATCCCTGTGGAGCCCTTGTTCTGTTGCCATCTTTGGTTTCTCTCCATCCTTAGTTCCTTCCAAAGCTAATTGCCCTGCATCCTCTATAGCAGCCTAACACCCAGCTAGAAGCAATCTCTGTCTCACAACCCCACAACCACCAAACCCGAATTTCCCACCATCTTACTTTCACAGATCCTTTTGTATTTGCATAGAGCCATACTGTTTATATTCATAATGATGATGATGCATTTCCTTTACTGAAATAAATTATTTTGGCATGCGCGCGCACGCTTCTTCAGGTAGTAATATCCTTGGAACCAGATGTGTTTCAGATTTCAGAGTTTTTCAGATTTGGGATTTGTATGAACTTTATTAATTGAGCATCCCTAATCCAAAATACAAAATTCAACTGTTCCAAAATCTGAGCATTTTGGAGCATCCCTTTGGCTCTTAAACTCTCCATTTTTGGAGCATTTGGGGTTTGGAACTCAGGGTGCCTAACCCTGTGATACTATATAAGTAATGATTCAAATGGTGCTAGACTGTGGCTCAAACCATGAGTGACTGAAACCTGGGGACCAAAAGAGGGATTGGCCCTTTCATTCAAATGTGTGGCTGGCTCTGGTACCCAAGGATAGGCAGAGTGGCTCCTTACGTCTCCCTAGGGCTCAGCGAGGGCTGCCTGTCACCAGCCAATCCCAGGCCTAGGGCTGCTCCAAGCCCCAGCTGTCTTCTATAGTTTCTGTTTTATTTTTACCAGGTTTTTCTTGATTGTCTTCTTTTTCAGCTTTTCTTTCCCTCTGTCTTACTCTTCCCTCCTTTTTTGCATCTTGTCCTTCTCTTTTTCTGTTTCTGTATCTGTCTCTTTCATTCTTTTTCTCTATGTTCCTTGACAGCCCTCACTCTCTCCCTCTTTCTCCCCCCTCTGAGTTCTGTTTTGCCATGAAAAGCTTAGATATCAGACCCATCTAGGCTGATCCAAGTATACATAACACTGTAAAACTGCCTACTTGAGAATGGTTCAGTCAAGTTGTATGTTATGTTTGCCTCACCCCACAATTTTAAAATAATTTTAAAAATAGACTTGGAGTCCTATCCTTACCCAAAATCTAAAAATAAGAAACAGGAATTTCTAAAATGCAAAAACAAAGCCAAACCTCCAGCCAAGCATGGTGGTACACATCTATGATCCCAGTAACCAAAAGATGGAGGCAGGAGGCTCATGAGTTCAAGGTCAGCCTGATCTGACATACCTCAGAAGAATAAAAGGGAAGAAGGAAGAGAACAAAGCTCCATGAAACAAACCCAGGCCTCCTCCCCCATGATCTCACTCTGATCTATGATTTTTAGGAAAGTCACAAAGTGTCTCTGAGCCCCAGGCCTTTCCTTTTTTTAGCAGAGGGGCCCACTGTGGATGGAGTAAGGTAGGCATGTGAACAGCTGAGAGCCCAGACCCCACAGGCCTCCCACAAACACCGTATCTTCTGGGGTTTCTTTTGGCTTTCTCTTTCTCCCACAACCAGTCCTACTTCTCTGTCCCTTGAGCCCACCTAGGGTGGCTAGCCACCTGTCACTTGTAGCAGCTAAGAGAGGAGATGGAGAGGGGATTAGCAAGGAGGCCTCTAAGCTCCCAGTACACCAGGACTGGGCTTCCCACCATTGTTCCTGTCCTGTCCATGATTACCCTCTCTGTGCCCCAGGGCCACACCAAGCACCAGCGAGGACCTGGTTATAGGGAAGGAGGCTGAGGCACAGCCGAGGAATGGCCCGTGGGACCTCTGTTACTATGTGCAGTTAATGGAGACAACAGTGGCCCAGTGTCTAGGGCTGGGGGCCTTGTGTGCCTAGCAGCACAGCTGTCACTGGGACTAGCAGGCCACAGTCACCTTTGAGAACCCCAGGAGGCATGCTGTCCCCTGCTATTGAGGGGCTCAAAGGATGGACAGAAGAGGCTCTTCTGTGGAAGAGCCAGCAGGGCTCAGAATGGAAGGAAGTAAGCTGTTCCTTGTCACCTCCTCTCATCCTGCTCTTCCCTGACAGCTCCCTTCTCTTCCTCCTCCCAGGCCTACGAGTGCGAGAGGTGCAGATTGAGGTGTCACGGCAGCAGGTGGAGGAGCTTTTTGGACTGGAGGATTACTGGTGTCAGTGTGTCGCCTGGAGCTCTGCAGGAACCACCAAGAGTCGCCGGGCCTACGTCCGCATTGCCTGTATGCCACCTTGACCTCCTGGCCCTTCTTCCCCATCTCATTCTTGCCTTTTCCCATTGGTACAGATCAGTGCCCACTATAGAGACAGGGGACATGTAGGTGCCACTGTCAGCATTTCTAATGGTTTTCACCTATAAAAGCTAGTTAGCTTCTGCTTGCATGCTAGGCCACTCTGCCGGTGGGACCCCAGGGTCAGGGAGGCACCTAGTGAGAAGAGAAACCACCCCAGGTAAAGGCAAGTGTGCCTACACTGCCCCCTAGTGGCCACAGCAAGCACTTCAGCGTCCCATCCACTCTCCTTGCCTATGCCTCAGGAACCTCTTCCTCTCCCCAGACCTTCGCAAGAACTTTGACCAGGAGCCTCTGGCCAAGGAAGTACCCCTGGATCACGAGGTCCTCCTGCAGTGCCGCCCACCGGAGGGCGTGCCTGTGGCAGAGGTGAGTGGGACACAATGGGTGCCACCAGTACTCTATGTGGCAGTTGCCACCTGTTGGACTCCCATGCAAGCTAGGAACACTGATGCCCACGGCAGCCCTGTGGAATAGATCACCTTTTATGGCTGGGAAACAGCACTGGGATGGGGGACTGGCCACCAAGGTGTTGCTGCTTAGTGACAGAGCTGGGATTTGAACCCAGGGAACAATCACTGCTGGAGCTGATTTGTGGGGTTAATGATGAGGGGAAGAGGAAGTACTGCCAGCTAACACCTGATCCATGTGTGTCACCCTCACAATGGCCCTGGGAGTAAGTGCTATTAGTTTCCCATCTTAGAATTGATAAAATTGAGGGCCTAACTGGTAAATCTGCTCCCCAAACCACCCAGCTGGTGGGGTCCAGCCTTGCTGGGTAGAAACCTGGTGAACACAGGTAGAAATACTGTTCTATTCATGCTCAGACCCCTCCCCCATCTGCAAGGGGTCTACCCCCAGTACAGGCATCCTGGGTCCTCACTGGCTTGTCCTCCTTCTCAGGTGGAATGGCTGAAGAATGAGGACGTTATTGACCCCACCCATGACACCAACTTCCTGCTCACCATTGACCACAACCTCATCATTCGGCAGGCCCGTCTATCCGACACAGCCAACTATACCTGTGTGGCCAAAAACATTGTGGCCAAGCGCCGGAGCACCACAGCCACCGTCATCGTCTATGGTGTGGCCACTTGCTAGGCCTGGGAGAGAGGAAGGGGCTTTCAGTTCCATGTCCCACCCCACCCTACCCAGAAGGCCAGCAGGACCCCTGAACAGGAGGGAGGTGTGGTCTTTAGAGGGGACAATGAAGCAATCCAAGTCACATTGCACAATAAGTGGCCAAGTCAGGCACTCCAGGGTCCCCAGCCAGGTGTCTCCATATTTCTCAAGGCTCCTTAGCTGTCTAATTGTTCTAGGGTCAAGGGTGCTGGCAGATCCCCAGGGGATAGTCTGAGCAGAGTGAAGATTCTCCTCACTCCTCCAGGGAGCATGTTGCCCGCATACTGCGCTTCTGTTTCCTTAGGGCACAGGTGAGGTGATTATAGAATGTTGTAGAAAGAGTGCTGTTCTAGGATCCAGCCCCAGGTCACATGGTAGGTCCCCCATATCACACTGGGTGACCCTGGGTAAGCAATGGAGACTCTGCCCCTTCATTTGTCTCTGCATGACAGATCAGGGAGGCAACAGAGAGCTCAGGTTCTCTGGAGTGTCTGCTGGTGTTGGGGTGCCCAGCTCTGCAGATGAGATGGCCTTAGCAGGGTGGCCGTGGTCTTGGGGCCAGGAATTCTCAGAGCCAGGCCAACCAAACAGTATTCAGGCCAACCAAACAGTGTCTCTCATCCCTACAGTGAATGGCGGCTGGTCCAGCTGGGCAGAGTGGTCACCCTGCTCCAACCGCTGTGGTCGTGGCTGGCAGAAACGCACACGGACTTGTACCAACCCAGCCCCGCTCAATGGGGGTGCTTTCTGCGAGGGACAGGCCTTCCAGAAGACTGCCTGTACGACTGTGTGTCCAGGTAGGTGAGCTTGTGAGGTGGTACCTTGCTTGTGCTCAGCCTCTCCCTCCTGTTTGCTATATGCTGAGTCTGAACAGCATTGCTGTGGCCTGGGCAGGGCAAGGGCTCATGCCAGACCCTCATTCAGCTGCTCAGGCTGGCCTAGGTACATTGTCTTCTAACTTCGGCTTCTGCTTGGGGCTGCTGGGAGGTAAAGGCTCGGAGCTGCTTCCTAGGGGCAGGCTCTTCTTTTAACACCTCCAACCTGGGCTTGAGCTGCCAAAGTCCTGGCATCTCCTGCATATAACTTTCAGGGTGCACTTTGTCCCCAGCTCCTAGTTCTGTTAATAGTCTCCTTTTCTCTGTCTTCTCTTTGTTTACGTATTCCTTCTGTTCCTCTGTCCTTGCCCATACAGCCATACTCTCTCCCATTAGTTGTGCTTATGTGAGTGTGGTGTGTTTTACCCTGGGTTTGTGTCTGTCTGTACATTCATGCAGTGGGCTATGTCTGTGCCAGTGACCTCGTGCTTAGATACCTGTGTTCTCCTTGTCCCCTGGGGACATCTGACTGTTCATGGGTGTGGAGGTGCCTGGATGTGTGTGAACTTTTCTCTAGTGACACACATGTGTCCTGGGGCCCTTTTTCCCTGCCATGTGTGTATACGATGTGCATTGCAGTGTTCTACACACTAACTGTATGCCCCTGCAGTGGACGGAGCATGGACAGAGTGGAGCAAGTGGTCAGCCTGTAGCACTGAGTGTGCCCACTGGCGCAGCCGTGAGTGCATGGCACCCCCTCCCCAGAACGGAGGCCGAGACTGCAGTGGGACACTGCTCGACTCCAAGAACTGCACGGATGGGCTGTGCATGCAGAGTGAGTTCTCGGCAATGCAGCCTTTGGGAAGGGATTCTGGAGCCAAGTGAGGGTCCCTCCTCACCCCCACATCTGCCATCTCATCTCACCTTGTCTCTATCATCTGTATCATTGTCTTCCCTTTATTTCCCTCAACAGATAAGAGAACTCTAAGCGATCCTAAAAGCCACCGTAAGTTCCATTTCATAACTATCCTTTCCTGGGGGGTGGGGCACAGGGCAGAGAGTGATGATGATGGATCTTCTACCAGTTTCCCTTGGACCATCTTCCCCTCTCCCCCTCACACACACACCCTGCGCCCCACACTGCCATCTTGGAACACTGACAAGACCCCTGGCCAGCAGAAAGGGCCTAGGTTACCCCCTGACATGTTACAAGGCAGGAAATTGAGTCTCTGGGAGAAGGAAGGACTTGCCCAAGGCAGTGAGCCAAGATGGATTTGAACCTAAATAGTGTTATGGCCAAAGTTGGTGGTTTTAACATTAGACGCTTGGCCTTTCTCTCTGGGACAGTTCGGGGGCATTGCCACGCCTGGCTATCTAATGTCCCACACTGGACCCCCCTGTAGATAGGCCTTATCTCCCACGTCATCTGTAATGCTCACTGCCCTGTGTCAGCTCTCAAGAGGCTCATCCTCCAGCCCCAAGGGGCCAAGTTGCTGCTGCAGTTAATAGCAAAGTAATAAGGCCTCTCCAGCAGATTGGCCTGTGGTAATTAAAGCACAATTTCTAAATAATTCCAGAATCAAAATCAGCAGTGAGGTCCTCAGCCCAGCTCACTAGGCTGGTGGCTGATTGGAGAGCATTAATGACTAGGAAAGAGCCCTCTATCTTCTCCCCGTGTGACTGGACATTAATATGCAGAGCCATGCCTAGGGTCTGCTGGGGCAGTACCTCCAGAAGCCTAGCCCTAGGAAATAGAGGAGGGGGCTTCTCTGCTCCTGGATTCCAGGGTCCTCTGAAGAGCCCAAAGGACAGATGGAAGGACAGGCAGGCATCAGTACTGAGAAGACAGACATCCAGGGCAGGAAGCCATGACTTTCCATGCTGAGGCTCAGGCTGACCCCTCCAAGGGAGTGGAAGATCCCAGGCAGAGAGAGCAGGCCTAGCTCAGAGCTCCTAGGACAGGAGAGGTAGACAAGTGCTTCCTAGAGCTCCCAAAAGAAGCAAGGAGGAAGAGTAGCCGTCTTGGTGGCTACCATCTTGGCTGTCTCTGAGCTAGCCAGTATGGTAACCACTACCCATGTGTGGCTAAGTAAACTCTTATTTATCTTATTTAAAACTAAATCCAGGGCTGGGAAGGTGGCTCAGTGGTAGAGTGCTTGCCTTACATGCATGAGGCCCTGGGTTCGATTCCTCAGCACCACATAAACAGAAAAAGCTGGAAGTGGTGTTGTGGCTTAAGCGGTAGAGTGCTCGCCTTGAGCTGAAGAGCTGAGGGACAGCGCCTAGGCCCAGAGTTCAGGTCCACGACTGGCAAAAAAAAAATAACAAAAAGCTAAATCCACTTAAAAATTTAACTCCTCAGTTGCCCCAGCCACACCTTTTAGTTGTTTAGGAGACACACAGAACTGGTGGCTGCATACAGGACAGCACAGAACATTATGGAGAATTCTATTATCTTAGACTTGGACCTTGACCCCTTCCTGCCTGACCATGGGCAGTTATTTCCAATGGCACCCTTCTGTAGGGTAGTGGGGCTTGTAGCCATGGGTGATCACCCCCATTCCAATTCTCCACCTACCTGTTTACCACCATTACCCATTCATTAACTACTTGTCATCTCTACTTCCTCCTCCCCGCAAGCTCAGAATGTCTACTTAGCAAGATTCCAGGGTTCTGTGGAAATGGCTGCAGGCTTGGGGTGTAGTTCTGTTGTCTAGTCTTAGCACTGGGGTTTAGGGTGAGGCTTGCCTAGCAAGCACAAGGCCCTGGGTTCTGTCCCCAGTACATCCCAAATAATAGTCATAGGAAAGAATAGTAAGTGATAGCTGACATAGTCCTCCTGTCCCTGCAGTCCTGGAGACCTCTGGGGACGTGGCGCTGTATGCGGGCGTGGTGGTGTCCATCTTTGTGGTGGTGGCAGTCCTTATGGCTGTGGGCGTGGTGGTGTATCGTCGCAACTGCCGAGACTTTGACAATGACATCACCGACTCCTCCGCGGCCCTCACTGGTGGCTTTCACCCCATCAACTTCAAGACTGCCAGGCCTGGTAAGGACACAAGGACACCAGGGGTGGTGGGTAGTGACAGGGGCACAGGGCTCCTTTTCCCTCTCAAGGCAGGGGGGTTGGGGAGGGCTCTCCAGTTTGTCCAAAGCCTCCTGTAGCTATGGCAAGGGGGTCTGACCATTACCCTTCACCTCTACAGGTAACCCACAGCTCTTGCACCCATCTGTGCCTCCCGACTTGACAGCCAGTGCTGGCATCTACCGTGGGCCTGTATATGCCCTGCAGGACTCAGCTGACAAGATTCCCATGACCACCTCACCATTGCTGGACCCCCTGCCCAGCCTCAAGATCAAAGTCTACAACTCTAGCACCACTAGCTCAGTGCCTGGCCTGTCAGATGGGACTGACCTGATAGGAGTTCTGCCACCCAGCACATACCCAGGCGATTTCCCTCGGGACACCCACTTCCTACACCTGCGCAGTGCCAGCCTTGGCTCCCAGCAGCTCCTGGGTCTGCCCAGAGACCCAGGAAGCAGCGTCAGTGGCACCTTCGGCTACCTGGGAGGAAGGCTAAGCATCCCTGGCACAGGTAGGCCCATGCTCTGTGCCTATCAGATTGGCCTCAGAATGCTCCCTCTGGACAGCCCAGGACCCTCCTAGTAAAGACAGGGCATTCTAATCCCATCACTGAGAGACAAAAGAAGCTGGAGGGCCAGAGGACTACAAGATAGACAAACACAGGCTCAGCAGTGCCTCCTTAGGACAAGAGAACCCTGGACTAGCCAGCCACTCTGAAGGCCCCAGTTTCTCTGTTAAGTGGTGAAGAATAGCCTGACAATAGCCAACAATCATAGAGAGTGGTCCTACTTCTAACATCAAGAAAGGCAGAGATACCCATGTCAGATTATAAAACTAGCCATTAGTACCAGGAGTGGAGCCAACACCAGGACCTTCCATCCCCATAGCAATGTTGAAAGACCCCTGTGTTCCTGGACAGGCCAGCTTGGTCAAAGGCGAGACGCCCTACCCCTAACCCAGAGAAAGTCTTTCTCTTTTTGCCTTAAGCTGGGACCAGCCCCTATCTCCTGTTCTTCTCAGCTCCCCAACTCCTTCCAGCCCCGCCCTGCTGACTTCCCTCTCTCCACTAGGGGTCAGCCTGCTGGTGCCCAATGGAGCCATTCCTCAGGGCAAATTCTATGAGATGTACCTACTTATCAACAAGGCAGAAAACACCATGTGAGTAGAGACCCCAGCCCTGGCCTAGTTTCCCCTCTTCTTTTCCCTGCTTCTGACCCATATGGAGTTCAAATGTCACCTCACTCCCACCCCCCTATACCAAGCCTGGTTCTGAGTCTAGAGATCATCTTCTGGGGACAACATTGATCTTATTGTGGCTGTACTTAAAACATGAAAACTTAACAGTGTAAGTTGTAAAGCAATGGTAGTTCACCAACTGTCTGAATGTGGGCTGGCATCCTCACAATGTGCAAAGGTTTCATAGCTAATAGGAAACACTGAACATCTCAGTACAAAGATGTGCAGAGGACCTCTGTGATTTCCGCACACATCTGTATATACAGTAGCTAGCAGCTCAGTCAATGAGAATGCAGTCTATCTTATTTGTAGTCAGTGAAAACAACTGAGATATTGGAGGATTTTTTTTTCTTAAAGAATTTTCAAGGTATTTCCCCCCAAATGTTAATACCTTCGAACCTCAACATGGGCACATGGCCCCATTCTCCCAAGCACACTGGCAGGAGTATCAATTGGTACCAGCTCCCTGGAGGGAACTTTAGCAACATTTATCAAAAGCAGTTTGGCTGTGAGAATGTCACCATGGAAAAGCAATAGCTCAGCTAGGCGCTGGTGGCTTACATCTGTAATCTAACTACATAGAAGGCTGAGATCTGAGGATCATGGTTCAAAGCCATCTTGGGCAGGAAAGTCCATGAGACTCTTTTCTCCAGTTAACAACTAGAAAACCAGAAGTGGCCTTGTGGCTCAAAGTGGTAGAGCACTAGCCTTGAGTGAAAGAGCTCAGGGACAGAGCCCAAGCCCTGAGTTCAGGCCCCAAGACCCATAAAAAAAGAAAAAGAAAAGCAACTTCAAGATTTATGCCATTTTCCCAGCCCTACTCCCCATCCCCATAATACCTTGGGTTCTGGGGCTCTGAGCCAGAAAGCCAGGCTTGGTATGGAGTTGAGAGAGAGCGGTCCTCTTGCAGCCTCCCCTCACTGCCTCCCTCTACCCTGCTCCCAGCCCACTTGCGGAAGGAACTCAGACAGTATTGAGCCCCTCAGTGACCTGCGGGCCCACGGGCCTCCTGCTGTGCCGCCCTGTCATCCTCACCATGCCCCACTGTGCCGAAGTCCGTGCCGGCGACTGGATCTTCCAGCTGAAAGCCCAGGCCCACCAGGGTCACTGGGAGGTGAGGAGCCTAGGCTGGAGGCCAGTCAAATCTTATAACCTGCCTCTCTCCTCCTGGCTCATCCCAGGTGAGAACCAACCCTCCTCTCTTTTGCAGGAGGTAGTAACCCTGGATGAGGAGACTCTGAACACCCCATGCTACTGCCAGCTGGAGGCCAGGTCCTGCCACATCCTGCTGGACCAGCTGGGCACATATGTGTTCACAGGGGAGTCTTACTCCCGTTCAGCAGTAAAGCGGCTCCAGCTGGCCATTTTTGCCCCAGCCCTCTGCACCTCCCTGGAATACAGCCTCAGGGTCTACTGCCTGGAGGACACACCAGTAGCACTGAAGGTAGGGCTGGCCACAGAGCCACACAGCTCTGACATCATGAAGTTGTATGGTTCCTTCTGGCATCCTCTCCCCGGAGTCCCTATCATCCATAGCTAGGCAGCTGCATGGTCCCTTTCAGCAGTTCTCCTCAGGGCCCCTTCCACCATCCTGTTTTAATCATGCTAGCATTTCTGAAATATTCACATGGCTCTGGACTCTCAGGACAGGGGTGAAGGCCATGGCTCTCACCTCACCAGATACTGGGTTCGAAATAGAGAGAAATCTCTGGAGACCACCGATAGGGAAGACTGTTTGTGAGGGCAAGAGAGATGGAGCTGGACATAGATGGAGGACTTAGTCTCCCAGGAGACATAGGGCCATACCAAAGAATTGCAAACTATCTAGTGAGAAGGTGGCTAGACCTAGAAAGTGCCCTTTCTTTTTTCTATTTTTATTGTTTTTGCATGCATGTGTGTGTGCATGCATTGTGTGTGTGTGCACACGTGTGCTGGTCTTGAGGCTTGAATTCAGGGCCTAGGTTTGAGCCATTGGTGCCCAGTTTGTTGGTTTTTGTTGTTTATTTTTTTTTTGAGACAAGAGCTCTCTTTGTAGGCCAGGGTAGTTTTGAACTTTCAGTTCCCCTGCCTTAGCCTCCCAAGTTGTAGGATTGCAGGTGTGCACCACCATAGCCACCATAAAAAAGTGATCTTTAAAACGTCCTCTGGCTGCACTGCAAGGATGGATAGATGAGAGTCAGAGAGGCCAGTTGGAAAGCTGGGACAAGTGGAGGGGGCTCAACTATTTAGTCAGTAGAATGGCAGGCTTGTCAAGGGGAGGTTAAATCAGGCTTCTACCAGGTGCAGAAGAAGGGCAGTGGTGTCCCTTAAGTGAGGGAGGGGTGTGGCCAGTAAGAAGCCATAGAGACAGAGGGAGGGAGGGAAGAAGGGAGAAGAGGGGCCTGGATCAGTAGCACCCCAAGCCTGGTGATGGCAGATGTAGAGCTGTGTGTAGGCATCACCCACCTCACCAGCCTCAAAGGCCCTGTCTCTTAAGTACTGTCCCTTCATCCTTTTATCCACCCCTCCTCCCCAAACCTCCTCCCTGCCCTGGGCTGTGTCCTTCCCTACTCTTTTATCTCCCAATCTTCTATGACTTGTCTCAGGCTTCATGCTGTGGACTGATACAATCTGGCTGAAAGGGGCCCCTTGGAAGAGTAAGCATCTCTCTCAGGAATTGGGCCCTGAAGGGTGAGAGGCCAAGGTAAAGTTTTTCAGTCCATACCTCAATGCTAGGCCTTTGATGTTGGGCCTTCATGAGTGTTCACCTTGGCTAAAAGAGTGATGGAGATCAAGAGGAGGTTGATGGCATTCTTGAATTTTTCAGCTCCCTTCTGTCCATCCATGCATCTTTCTGTTAATCTGTCTATATATATATAATCTGTCGGCAGCCCACATGACCATCCAGATATCACACATCCATTCATCCAGTTACCTTTCCTTCCAAAGATCTTTGAGTGCCTACAGATGTCCATCAATACATCCTTCTATGTATCTGTTTTTCCAAACATACATCCATATATCTACTTATCCATTCATCCATCTGCCATTCCATCTACAAGTCCATTCATCTGCCCTGTTGTTTATTTGTCCATCTGTTTTCTGGTTATCCACCTATTCATTTACCTAACTAAAGCACCTTCTAAATGGATCAAATGAGTCAGTCCTATGCTCTGTGTTCAGATGGCCTAGCCTTCACCTCCCAATTTACAGCAGAAAGGGCCCATGGAGCCAGGTGTGATATATTTCCCCCTTTCTACTGCCCTGCCCACAGGAGGTGCTAGAACTGGAGCGAACTCTGGGTGGCTATTTGGTGGAGGAGCCCAAGCCCCTGCTATTCAAGGACAGTTATCACAACCTGCGCCTCTCCCTTCATGACCTCCCTCATGCCCACTGGAAGAGCAAGCTGCTGGCCAAGTACCAGGTGAGGGTCGTCTTGGAGAGAAGCACCTCCTAGAGGTGCCCAGGGAAGTCCGGCCCTTACTAGGCCCTATCTCTGCATACAACCTCCCCACTGCCATATATGCCAGGTCATCCTCAGGCTCACCTCTAGACTACCAGGTGCGCGCACGCGTATACACACACACACACACACACACACACACACACACACCACACACACACCCTCACTCACACACACACACCCCTGCTATTCAAGGACAGTTATCACAACCTGCACCTCTCCCTTCATGACCTCCCTCATGCCCACTGGAAGAGCAAGCTGGCAAGTACCAGGTGAGGGTTGTCTTGGAGAGAAGCACCTCCTATGGGTGCCCAGGGAAGTCCAGCCCCTACTAGGCCCTACCTCTGCATACAACCTCCCCACTGCCATATATGCCAGGTCATCCTCAGGCTCACCTCTAGACTACCAGACACACACACACACACACCACCCCTAGACTACCAGACACACACACACACACACACACACACACATACACACCTGTACTGTCTTTTGTCTCTCCTGTGCCTCTTTATCATCTTTCTAAAACCAAGACCTGACTGACCCAGTCCTCTTGAGCCTGGACCCCACCCACTGTGTCACCCTCTCGGGGGAGACAAGCAGCTAGCCTTGCTTTCAATGCTGACTCCCCCTTCCTGCAGGAGATCCCCTTCTACCACATCTGGAGTGGCAGCCAGAAAGCCCTGCACTGCACTTTCACCCTAGAGAGGCATAGCCTGGCCTCCACGGAATTCACCTGCAAGATCTGCGTGCGGCAGGTAGAAGGGGAAGGCCAGATATTCCAGCTACACACCACGCTGGCTGAGGTGAGGGCTAGGTCTCCCCTGTGGGACTGCAGCATGCAAACCCCACATTCCCACACATCTGGATGAAGATAAGATTTTAGGGAGGGCAAATATGTGCACACAGGCAAGATTGGATTTGAACCCAGGTCAGTGCCAGGGCCAAGTTGTGGGTCTTAGCTACCATAAATCCAGACTGGGCTATAAAACCCCAGGCCACCCAAGATGCCAATGCTAGGTAGTGCTTCTCCTTCAAGATAAAGAACACTGGGGAGCTGGCTGTGCTACTCGCTAGCAGTTAACCCTGGGCAAGTCACTTCCCTTCAATAGACTTCATTTTCCATGGGTATAAAAATGGGTCTATCTGAAATGACAAAATAATGGCATTTGCAGGGAAATGGATGGAGCTAGAAGAAATCATGTTGAGCGAGGTAAGCCAAGAGCAAAGAGACAAATGGTACA